TCGAGTAACTTTCTACAGCGAAACCGGGGAACGAACAGGGATGAATTGATTTATCGGAGTAACTGCAACAACCGTAAGTTACCCGAAGGCATCGTAATTTTGTTTACATATGCTGCTTTTGAATGGCAAACGGCCGATTAGACGATCAAGTTTTCCACGCAGAGTGAAAATTCATGTTTGCGAAGCACAACGACCCCCATAAGTCAGACTAAAGCTAATTTAAGCGTGATATTTCAATTCTAAGGTGACGCGGGGAAATTATTTCTCCAGAGATACTGGTTAGATGGAAACTAAGTTCCACGCAAGTAGAGCGTCGTAAACGCGAATGAATTTGCTTCCCTGGACTTCCTTACCTCTTACGATCTATTCGTACCAAGCTACGAGTGCTTTCCCGCCAGCATTTACAAATATCAACGTCGACCTTATCGTTCTCTTTCTCAGCACTTTCTCGAACGGTCACGCTGGAAGTCGAGATATTAACTAGTATCCCCGCCAGCGAGACATCCGCCAAATATTTATTTTATAAAGCTGTAAGGTTTCTTAAAAAGTTACGTAACTTTTACGAAAGGTATAAAAAAAAAAAAACATAGGAATGTAGGGGCACCCGAGTCCTTCCCTGTCGCCATCTTTTCAGGGATTTTCGCGAACGAGTCGTTTGCGAATTGCACACCCTCGAAAGCCAGTCAGCCTCCTCAAAGGGTCGAGCGGTGGATCATGTTCCGAAGGTAGTTCCAATTCTGACCAATCACCGACACGTTCACCGCATTCAGAAATAATAGTTGCAAGATACAGTGGACTCCCCGGATCGTAAACTAACGATTTCCTTTCGAAAAAAATAGCAGACCCGTTTCTTTGGTATCGTAAATTCGATTCCATCGAGCATCCGGACTGTAGAGGTCGAGAGGACATCTTGGAAGTTTCTCTTTGAACAAGTTTGACCGGAAAAAAGGCGGGCTTCTAGCAGAAGTCACGGGGCCGATGCATCCCCTTCGGATTTACCCCGACTCGTTCCTCGACCGAGCTCTTCTTTCTTCCGCGAGCCAAGCTTTTCGATCTAGTCCCTGCAGCGGGCATTTCCCCAGCGATTGCCACTCTTCGTTCCAACTTTGTTTTCTCGATTGCGTTAGGTTGACGTGTCGACCGATAAGCGCGACGAGGGCCGACGCGACGCAGCGCGGAGTCGGTTCTGTCCTGGAAACGCGGCGAAACTTGCAACGATGGCGGCCGTGGTGTTGCGCTTCCTCGATGGTGACACGATTTATTCAGAATCGAGTCGGAGAACTTGGCCGCTACCCGGATGCAGCCATCGCGGCGGGATAGACGCGATCGTATGAAAACGATCGGTCGCGGTATCGACAGTGGCAACGTTTTGTACCGACGATGCGAACCGTTAACGCGATTTATTGAAAGCAAGCGAGCGTAAACTGTCGCGCGAGTTGTATGTATTTCGTTAAAATATCGCAGCGAGGGGAATTGTATTTTAGTCAAAATGTCTCGTATGGAAAAAACGGTTTCTATGGAACCGTTGGGTATATGTATCTAGTTTCCGAAGGAAGATCGCCGGGTCGTCAACGGGAGCAATCTACGAGACGGGTGTCGCTCAATGAAACACAGCCACGTCCAGGCCGGGCAATAACCGATGATCTTCGGAAACAAAATTTCCCAGCGTCGACTGCAACACGGTTGGATGTTGACCGGAGAGTGGCCAGCGGTGCCGCCTCCTCCCGCTTCGCTTATCGATTATGAAATTGCACCGGATAAAGCAAACGAGAGGCCGTGCGCGACCTCTGTCGAGGGTGGGTTTTGCTCGTGCGCCGGTTAGCTTTCCGATTATCGGATGACAGACACAGAGCGGGCGTTATTTCTCTCTCGCACTCGTTGCTCGACTTACACATACCTTTGTCAGGGTACACGGCCGCGTTACACGCGACCCGCGCATCGCTGGAACACACACGACCGGTTCCGCGCGGAGCCAGCACGCGCTCTCTGTCATACTCTGCCCCCGTCACTTTATCTACCTATGACGCATCATCCAGTTCTCCGTGACGCGCGGGGTTATCGTTACCCCTATCTGTCTCTATCCGTTATCCAAGCGGAGCTTCGTCTCGTGGCAAGCTGCTCGCCCGCGCTAATTCCCTACGGCCGGCCATCGCATCGCATTAAGGTCGATTTATACTATCCGTTTACGGTACGGCGCGGTTCGGTTCAGGCAAATGCCCTCTTGCGTTTCGGCACGTAACGTTTTGGTTCCGTGCACGGCTCATCTCTCGAGACCTCGCTGTTCATCAGGGTCGGTACAGCGAGCGGACGTGACTTCTCCGCTACCTTTGAGGATCAGGCCTTCGAGACATTTTTACTCGAACAAATTAGGATACTGGTCCTTTTAATATCAAGGAACCTCCAAACTCCACACGGGACTTGGAATCCTTGGAACTCTTCTTTACTTTAAGAAGTCTCGCGGTCGTTGGGTATTTCCCAAATAAGTTAATAACAACGCAACGTTCTCGCTCACTCCTGCATGGTCTACCTGGACACTGGACAGCGGGGAATGTTGCAAATTGTCATTATTGCACGATTATCGAAGTATCGCCTGTCCCGACACGTTCAAAACCACCGTGTTACCCCCCGTTTCCTATCGGACCACTCGACGGGGCTTTCCTCGCGTTAAGCCCTCCCTTCTGTTCCCTTCTTCGTGCCCCGTACTCCTAATCAACGCGGCTATCGCCAACAGATATATATGCTGGCTCACACCTTAAGGGGGGACCTCTATGTAGAAATCCGAAATTAAGCCGATTTTCAAGAATTATTTCGAAGGATAAAGAATTAATAAATATTTGTAAGGTTTTGAGGACTATTTAGAATATACTTCAATTTCATTTTGCAATTTTTTTTGTTCAAATAAAATGCAAAATGGCGGAGGTACAGCATGATTTGCTAGAAGCGTCGCAAGACGTCTTCTAAAACGGTGTACAATCTAGTGTCGGTTTTTATTATCCGAATCTGCTTATCAACGAAATATGATTAGTAAACTGCGGATCTTTATGCAAATTCACATTTTTATTAATAAAATTAATGAAACGGAAGCTTCGCGGAGGGCTGTCTCAACCCCTAAATATAATAATTCGTATCATACTTTAAGTATTTCTTATATTTTTGCATATTAAGTGCATTCTGTAGTTTCTTGAGAATTCAAATTCCCCATAAATGCATAAACATCCGCAGTCTAATGATTAGCATATAACAATAGTAAATGGATGAACCGAAGATATCGAAAGAAAATTAAAAATTGGAAAAATGGCAGACCTCGGTGCAAAAAGCTTAATATTTCAAAGAAGACTTGTATTCGTTTTTGCATTAAAAATGATGTTTATTTCCGTGATTTTAACTTACTTTTAAGTTCATCCATGAGACATTACTACCATTAAAATGTGTATTAAATTTCAGTCGGATAAGTTGATTTTGAACTTAGCGGAAAAAGAAGTTTCGAGTAAATCGCGTTTAAAGTTTCGGCAAGAGAAATATGTATGATTTTGTGGCTTTCTGGCTAATCTGCTATTCCAGCACCGTATAATAATTATAATCCTTCTGCTTCCTCAAAATAGTCATTTTGCTCGCGCTGCACGAAACAACGAATACAAGTCTTCTTTGAAATATTAAGCTTTTTGCTCTGAGGTCTGCCATTTACTATTGTTATATACTAATCATATTTCGTTGCTTAGCAGATTCGGATAATAAAAACCGACACTAGAGTGTACACCGTTTTAGAACACGTTTTACGAAACTTCTAGCAAATCATGCTGTATCTCCGCCATTTTGCATGTTATTTGAACAAAAAAAATTGCAAAATGAAATTGAAGTATATTCTAAATAGTCCTCAAAACCTTACAAATATTTATTAATTCTGTATCCTTCGAAATAATTCTTGAAAATCGGCTTAATTTCGGATTTCTACATAGAGGTCCCCCTTAAATCCTTGCCTCGAAATAATTTCCATACTCGATGCAACCATCGATATCGAACCCAACCAACGGAAAGCATAATGTTAAAATATGTCTGAGCAAAGTTTTGTAAACCGTAACTGAAATATTTAACACAATGGAATGATATAGAACGATAAAACATGGTTTCACCGCGACGGTCGGAATAAGAAGGAAGAAGGTCTGTTGTACAAACGACGAGCAGATCGCCCATAGAGATCAAACAAAACAACCGAATAATTTGCGCTAGTAATAGCACAGATGTCGCGATTAGCATTAGAAATCATATTTTCAACACATAGAAACATAGTATTTTTCTATTGTATTGTACTGTACTGTCACGGCGGATGCACGAGACGGTATTTTAGCCGCACCTTCGTTTTTCCACGCCAAACATGCCCGGCTGTTTTCATTCTCGTGACGATGAAGAGGCTGGCGATCGATCGGTTGACGCCTTTGAGAACGCGTCGCGATAACTATCGTCTCCGGCAATTATGATTTATTAGACGGCACTTTTATCGTTAATTGCCGTCTACTACTAGTTACTGGCTACTTTGTTGCCGGTTCGACCCAGTTTTCGGTAACACGAAGATCAACTCGCCCCTCTTTCAAAACTTTTTCTTCGCATACGCTTGCTTCCCATCGATTTCTCGAGAGAGACTCGTACACGAAATGGATTAAAAGAGGTAATTGCATGTATGAGAATAAATCGAAGGTAAGGAACCTCGGATGATGTATACAATTTCGAGAACTCAGCTGCTAACAAATTATTTAGCGAAAAATAGCGCAGGATTTTTGGCATCTCGAAACGAACAATTCGACGATAAAATTTCCTAAACTAATTCACAGTAAGGGAGAACTTTACAATGTTCGAGTAAAAATGAATTACAGACGGAAAGAATTATATGTCGTTACGATATCGTACTGTACGTCGATTCGCGTTCGTTTCCCGCGGCGACATCTCTTATCGTGACCGCGGAAGTGCATAGAAACAGTATCTATCGTTGTCGAGCCTGCACTCACTTGATTCGATTAGAGACGAGTAGCTCGGCTATATTTTTCCCCAGCATCGAGTACAGCGTTTCCACGAAGACCAACACTTTCGGGTCTGTTCTCAACCGAGCTTCGCTACGATGATCCGGCGCCGATGGCAGTCTCGTTGCTCCTCTCAGCGTCGAACACCTTATCGCTGGTTCTGGTCTAGTGTCTCGATGGATCAAGCTGCAACGAAACAGAGGATCGTCAGGATAGAAGCATACTGTAAATCATTCTGCACGGGTTAAATGTCTACGTATCATCAATGATTTTGGGCTAGCAAAGATTAGAAATATTTATTTAGTCGTGGTCCGACCGATGCGGAACACCTTTCGCGAAGATTCTCGATGGTCCGTTTATGACACGGACGGGAGTGTTAGTTTATTTCTCGTTTAATCACCAAGAATATTTTAGAGTTTATTTTTCTATTACCGGCAATTTCATTTTCGCGATAGTAAAGTTTATTTCAGTCACTTCGAGCTTTTCCATTTATTTTAGCCTTTAGAATTTCGTTTCGTTTAATAACCGATCGAATCATAAACGAGGCATCTTTGGCTGCATCGCTGGGCGTTCGAGAGCACCCCCATGCGTCCCATTGCCCTCACCCCCGCTCTATCGGGGTTGGCAAAAGGGCGTTAATATTAGTGAAAATCGTAGCCTAAGATCCTGATTGGGAATAAAGACCACCAATCCACTCGCGTGGAAAATCTTCGAAGTTTCGTGCGCGGATCCCGGACACTTTCGAATGAGACTCAACAAGACTCGCAAAGAATACACATCAAACATAGTCTCAATAGATAGTCGCGCTCAACAGAGCTTATACAAACAAAGTTACAGTCCACATACATTTTTTGATAGGACTTCAGAATTCGCTGAAGACTCCTCCGCGTCGTTTAATCGTCGCTGTGATGCATAAACAAGTCGTCATCGATGTTTCGTTACGAGGATGGGAGTTTTACACGGTACAGTGAAAACTCGATAAATGTCGCTACTCCGGGTCCGGTCAGCAACACTTACGGAATAGGAGAATCGTCTTTCGAATTTGATTGTAGTTTGCCGACGCTTCGAACGTAGAAAGAGTCAGTAGCTAAAGAAGAAAGAGGGACTGAAACTCGGATTTATCGCCCCAGTTTAAATATCCGCGTCAGTGTGACCACACTACTGCACAGAAGAAAATTTTTTATTTTTTACTTTTTGTTAATAAAAATTTCACTATCATGTTGGGGAGATTTCTCTGATTAAAATGAGGCTAAACACGATATAAATCGGTCAATATTTGGTAGCATAATATTGAATTAAATATTGTACTTGCGAGTCTTTCTCTCTTTATTTATCCTTCTTGTGCTGTCCTTTTCTATGTTCGGAAATATCAAAGAACGACGCATCGAGGTGCTGGCTACATTTATCGAACGGGAGGTAAGTAGCTATTTTCAAACGGAACGGTTCCACCGTTTCGTAAGTGATCAAAAACTGCAACACTTATGAAATAGGGGGTTTCGTTAGCTACCACTGTTCGATAAATGTACCAATCCACTGACCTTGCGAAGATACGAGTACACAATATTTAATTCAATATTATGGTAACAAATATTGGCCGATTTATATCGTGTTTAGTCTCATTTTAATTAGAAAAATCTTCCCCACATGATAGTAAAATTTTTATTAAAAAAAAGTAAAAAATAAAAAACTTTCTTCTTGTACAGTAGTGTGGTCACACTGACAGGGACATTTAAACTAAGTGACGAAGGCAATAAAGATTTTTAAAGAAAGCCGCTACGTCTCCGGTTACACTTCGCCTCACTGGTTCAAGGGGGATCCCCCTAGTGGTGGGGATAAAAATGTATCATTTATGGAACAGCTCTTGAGGACATTTATCGAGTTTTCACTGTATTTCGGTTCGTACGACATCAAGTTCCATAAGATGCATAGTCTGCACCTTGTTAGTGGTTGCAGGTTCTCCTTGACATCGTGAACCCTCGCAGGTACAAGGGCGCGTGATATATTATGCGTGCGGAATTAACGCGTCGTCGCCGCAAGACTTTGTCCGATAAACCATCGACCCTTTGCTACCAAGTCGGACTTGACTCGCGATCGATAAACTGGACTTTCGTATAATAAAGCAATTTTCGACCATCGAACCGTTAAAATCACGGGCGCTTAGATCGCGTCGTTGCCTCGAATTATCGCTCGTACTCGACAGGAACATCTTCCGCGTGGCCGATTTCGCGCCATTAGCCGGAAACGCGGGAACCTTCGGCGGTTCCGGGCAAAGATTTGCCGTCACGGAAACCGAACGGAATCGAATTGCCGCTGCAAGCGAAATCTACATCTGCAATCGTCGGTGTATGATATTCAAAGTGGATCTATCTCGCGTGCGGCAGCAATTTTCCCTTTGAAGGGAAACGCACCGGAAAAAATACGACATACGGTTTGCAATATATTACTTTAAACCAGGGATTTCCGCAGAGCCCGCCGCCAGTCATTTTAGTAAATGCTTTAGACTCTCGAGGTAGTTTGTATCCTGTAAAATTAATCGCGATCTCGATATCTGTTCGACGTATGCGCAATTGACCGAGCACGGTTATTTCTTACGGTGTTCTCTCGTTACCGCGATCAACTTATCAGAGCGAACCAAAATCACCGGTCTAAGGAATGGTTGGCTGTCATCGAGTTAACGTATCCTGAAAACCCCTCGCAGAGACTGTTAAGTCGAAAACGAGTCTGGCAAAAATGACGGGAACATACAGCGTCAAAGGCTCGTTAAACTGTGTGGCGTAACGCGGTCCGTGGAAGCCAGGAACGCGGTGTACCTTAAACTCGATTAAGGGGGACCGACGAGATCGTAAAAGCGGGTTGGCTTCATATCCGGAAAGATCCATGGTGCGTGATCTCACATATAAGCTTTCAAGTACGTTGGTAATCTGGCCGGAGAGATACGGAACGTCATCCTATAGTGCATAAACACAGCGTGGCTGTATGCCCGAAGTAAGCCTATTAGCGAGCGAGCTTATTAGAGGATGCCATCTGACCCAAATTCCACGTTCCTATAGGCCGGAGGCGTACCAACGCGCGGATACACTTAATACGAATTTACGATTAATGCTTCGGGGCCTGAGCGCGCGACGCTCGTCGAACCGTCTCGCGCGAGTACCCGACAACTTCGCGACCGAGGGATCCAGGCTCTCACGTTTACGTATTTAAGCAGCGTCTTGCCCCGTCTGCTTCCGATGAAATCGGAAATTTGATAAATTCGGTTAAATACAGTCCCTGGCCATTGAATTAGGACCACTACAAATTTTATGCGTTTTTCGCATTTTCCGTAAAATTAAAAGACTTTTTGAAATTGTAATGATATAATTTCTTAACTACTAACATAATATACTACTACTGTACATAATATTGTTAACACACGTTAATATCTTGTATTTCCACCCTTTGCTTTGATGACAGCTTGTATCCTTTCCGGCATGCTCCGTATACATTGCTTGATCATATGCTTTATGTCTTCATTATTTTCCCATGTATCTGTAATTTTTGTTTTCAATTGTGGTAATGTGGTGATTGGAGATTCATAAACTATTCTTTTAAGTAGGCTCCAGACATTTTCTATAGCATTCATGTCGGGAGAATTGCCTGGCCATGGGAGCAAAGGGATATTTTTTGATGAAAGCAAGGTTTTAACGGATTTGGCTCTGTGACATGGTGCTCCATCGTGCATATACGTATATTGTGATCCTACAGATGTGTAAAATGGAACCAATCGGGTCTCTATGACATCTTCGTACTGTTTGCCATTCATAGTTCCATTAACAAAATAAAGTGGGCCTGGTCCTTCAATTGTTATACAGGACCATATCATCACTACTTGTGGATGTTTTACCGATTACACCACGCAATCTTGATGGAATTGCTCATGTGACCTTCTTCGGACAAATTGAGCTGTTTCCGTAACCGTTTCTAACCGTGTTTCATCACTGAAGATGATCTAATAAATATGAAGAAATTGTAAAAATTTGAAAATATAGTTAGAGTCGTAAAATGATTTTCTTAAATTACCTTTTCCCAATCTGCTATGCTAAGATTGGAATGAGCCTTTGCCCATTCCAATCGAGATTTTCTCATTTTGGGCGTTACTTTCAGTCTTTTTACTGGTCGTCTGCATCTGATATTGGCTTCGTATAAACGTCTTCTGAATGTTCTTTCAGATATATCCACTCCATCGTTCTTAAGACGTTGCACCAGTACTCTTGTAGTCACGTGACGGTTTTCTAGTGCAGTTTTTATAATTTTTCGGTCTGTTCTCGGTGTGGTTTTTCGTTTACCGCGACAGGATGACCGTTTGTTTGAAAACTGCGGCCCATTCTCCTTCATGCATTTGGCGATTCTCATCACTGTTTGATGCGAAATATTAGCATTTTTCGCAATTTGTCGCTGCGAAAAGTTGCCACTCTTCAGAAGACCACATACATAGGCCGTTTTCTCACTAGTAATGTCCTGTCGTTTTCCCATATTTCATAAAATGCACTTACTAAAACTCTTAACGCTGACTTGTTATGAACGCTTCAACGATTCAGTCACAACTGATTCTCTTCTTCGTCATTTGAACTTTTAAAGATCTCTCATCCTTATGTGCAACACATTCTCATCATGTATATACAAACAAATCTTGAATTCTCCAAATCTGACCTCACGCGTTATCGACACTTGAGTCTAACGTAAACGCTGGAGCGGCCCTTAATCGCTCGTCACCCACACAATTTGATTACTACCACGATAGTAACAAATCAATTGTTATGTAACCATCATTATTAACGTATTTAGTAATAATTTAAATGACCTAAGACAATTTTCCATATATGACACACTGTTATAGGCATAAAAGTGAAATTTTCGTACGTGGTCCTAATTCGATGGCCAGGGACTGTAGAGATGTTTTTGGTCATTGGACGCCGCGGCACTGCGCGTCGACGATCCATTTTTTAAAACCTGATAAAATTGACTGAAAATGTGGTACGAAGATATTTGAATATCGGAATTTGCAGCGCGAACCGTAAATAGGACGCGCGCGTCCACGCACGCTTTCAAACGAGCGTTTTCACCCCCCACGGAAGCTCTTTATTATCGCCGATAATTTATGATCGATCCGCTCCTGCTTTCTACCTTAATTGATATTACCTCGAGTTCAA